GTGTGTGAGTGTGTGTGTGTGGAGTGTGTGTGTGTGTGGAGTGTGTGTGTGTAGTGTGTGTGTGTGTGTGTGGAGTGAGTGTGTGTGGAGTGAGTGTGTGTGGTGTGTGTGTAAAAGGATGCCACTGGGGAGGAGGGGGACCTGCTCCAGCGTGGCGGCCACCATCAGACCCCAGGACTGGAACGAGTGGGAAGGCAGAGCCACCACCCCTGGGGATGAAGACCCCAGCTGGGTGGCATTGGTGGTGCTAAGGTGACCTTTGACCTGGGAAACACACTCACCAACGTCCAATTTGTTGTGGGCGTCCGGCGTCTGAACTGCACCTCAGCCTGGACCTCATCGGAAACATTCCAGTCCAGGCGTAACTGGCCGTCCCAACGAGACACTTTGATGTCCCCCGGGGGAGGGCTGGCCTTGGCTGGGGGAGACATGGCCCTGACGTGAGCGCGAACCAGAAGGTTTGCCGGTACCAGCCGCGGGGGCGCCCGCCCCGGTGAGACCCTGCACACCTAGCCGAGGCCGGCATTCTGTACCCAGAGTCAGGGGACGGGGTTTGTCTCAAATTTTGTTTTTGTTTATTCAGTCAGGGTCTCCTTAGCTGAGGCTGGACTTGAACTCATGACCCTCCTGCCTCCCAAGAGCAGGTGTGACAAGCGTGCACCCCTATGACTGACTTATGGGGTGCTGGGGCGAAATCTTAGGGCTCCGCGCATGCTAGGCTCTTGTCTACCTGCTGATTTATGTCCCCAGACAACGAATTTAAAAGATAGATTTACTAAGGCTGGAGAGATGACTCAGAGCTTAAGAGCACCTGGGAGAACCCAGCTTCGGGTCCCAGCACCCACATGGCAGCTCACAACGGTGTGTAACTGCAGCTCCAGGGGCCGCACCCTCTTCTGACCTCCCTGGGCACCAGACATGCAGGCAAAACATACACACATGTAAAAATAAAGAAATAAGCCTCACAGAAAAAAACGCTGGGGGCGTGATAAGATGGAGCCCTGCCTAAAATCCGCCCGTGAGGGGCTGGGGCGTGGCTCCAGGTAGAGTATGAGGAAAAGTCCCATCCTCGGCCTTATCCGTCCCCCCAAACAGACATCTCGCTGGAGTATGTTCCCACTGACAAGTGACCTTCTTTCTGCCCTGGTTAATTTTCTGCGTCTGGGAGTTCGCTCTGCCGTCTAGTGTCAGGGTGCGCAGTCACCCTCACTACCCTGCCCACATCCGTCCCTGAACCTGCCCACAACCCACATCCGCACGCACGCACGCACGCACGCACGCCCAGTACAGGACTCTGTCAAAGATACGCTGAGTCATGAAAACACAGTTCCGGGGGGCTCACAGGACTGTGGGGGGCAGAGGAGCCGCGACACCAGCAGGAACCTAAGAGCCCAGCACTGGGGTATCCCACGCAGTGAGACACAGCGCTGGGGTATCCCACGCAGCGAGACACAGCGCTGCCTAGAGCGCCTTGTGTCACGGGGCTGTGTCCTGGGCCTGGGTGACCGAGGGACAGGAAGACAGAGAGCTCACTCCAGTGGGACAGGTACAGGGATATCGCCGGGGACTTCAAGGTCCAGTTGCCGAGCCGAGACTCCACCCAGAGCGTGACCTTGGACAGCACAGGGACACCAGCCTGTTCCGAGAACTGCACAGTCCTGGACCGGCCCGCAGGGAAGTAGCAGCAGCGCCCACCTCCAAAGCTGCAGGAGAGTCAGTGATGAGTCAGAGGAGTGGGCGGGGGGGTGGGGTGGGGGGTGGCGAGAGAGAACCCTAAAGGGAGTCTGAGAATGAAGAAAGACCAGAGAATGAGTCCGGCATTGTTTAATCCCAGCACCCGGGAGGCAGAGGCAGGTGGATCTGTGAGTCCAAGGCCAGCCTGGGCTACAGAGCGAGATCCAGGACAGCCAGGGCTGCACAGAGAAACCCTGTCTCAAAAGACCAGAAGGAGGAATAAAAGACTAGAAAACAACATGCTCTCTCTCCACCCCTTGTGGTGACATGCTGTCTCTCCAACATCTTAGGTGACAAAGATTGCCAGGAATCACGTTGATCATGAGCTCACATACAGATCTTGGCTGTGGGGATCTGGGGGACATGTGAGGATGCGGGATGGGTCCTCACCAGCACCTCAGGAAGTGAGAGACATTGGCCTCAGAGCCGTCGTAGTGCCAGGAGCATTCGTATTCGGCTCCGGAAACCCGGTAGCAACTCAAGTTCCTGGGTCCTGACAAGGAGCCTGCGAAAGATTATGGAGTCTGAGAAGTGGGGTTCTCCCAGCAGACAGCACCCCACGTACCCAGCATCCCTTGCCCTAGCCCCGTCTCCCAGTTTTCCCTGGATTTTTTTTGTCCAAGACAGGGTTTCTCTGTGTAGCTTTGGAGCCTGTCCTGGATCTCGCTCTGTAGCCCAGGCTGGCCTCGAACTCACAGAGATCCGCCTGCCTCGGCCTCCCGAGTGCTGGGATTAAAGGCGTGTGCCACCACCGCCCAGCGCCCTGGAATTTTTTAAGCAGTGGATTTGGAATGTGTCTATTTGGTTCCTTTTGTGACATTTGTTAATAAATAAAAATGTCCCACGGAGCGAGTACACATAGCAGGTGATTTCCCAAACGCTGGACCACGTGAATAACAGGGACTTAAACCCTGTGGCCAGGCCGCACAGCAGAGGGGTTGAGGGGGCCTGTGCTCAAGGCAGTGCCCGGAAGGGACAGGGGGTGCAGCTGTGGGGGGCTGGGGACCGCCCGCAGCAGGACAGTGGAGATGCGCATGGGGACAAGATGAGGCAGAGCCCGGTGTGGCTCTCAGCCTGGAGGGGCAGTGCCGGACCTGGGGCTCCGTCTGGGTGCAGCGGCAGTGCCGGACCTGGGGCTCCGTCTGGGTGCAGCGGGAGCTTCTCAAAGCAGCAGCTGCCAGCTCTGCAGGAGGCTGAAAGACACGAGACAACGACAGTGTCACAGCACAGCGGACATGTCAGCCCGGGGAGGGCCCAGGGCGAGCAGCAGCCTGCCTGCCTCCTCTCCAGTCACAGGCCCCCGCCCCACACCCACACATCTATCCACCCGTCCGTCTGTCCTCTCCTCAGCCCTCACCCCTCTCACTACCCCGGATTCTAAGCCCCCTCGGGTCCCTGTGGCTCCAGGGCGCACAGCACGCGACAGGGATGGAGGGGGCAGGGCCGCCCTAGAGCACGCAGGGCAGCGGAGGTTGGGGCACCCGCTGAGTGCGCCTGGCTGCTGGCAGTGGGGCCTGGGGACAGTCCCCGGACGGTGCTGCCCTGTGAGCAGATTCACCGTGGTGCCCGGGCCCCAGGGCCTGCCCTGCGTGAGAGTGTAGGACAGACGGGCGAGGGTCTGCCCCACTCTGGGAGCCCCGGGATCCGGGGGTGCCGGCTCGCTCCTCATGTGTCCTGCTCTCTCTGGTGGCCCTCCGTAGGAATCTGGGGTCCCTGCCCCTCGCTGTGCGTCTCAGCACATGGTGTCCCCGGAGGCCTGCGGCCCTTTGGTGTGAGGTTCTCACCACCATCTCCGGCTGTTCCCTCCATCAAGCTGAAGTGGAGGACCAACGAGCTGCAGACCCCTGGCCTAAGAGGAATGCGGAGGCACAGAGAGGCATAGAATGTGCCCAGAGTCACACAGCAGCCATGACAGGTGTCCTGAGAGCCTGCCTGTACAGACCCCATCCATGTAAGTGTGTGTGCAGTGGGCTGTGTGTGTGTGTGCTGTGGGCCGTGTGTGTGCTGTGGGCCTTGTGTGTGCAGTGGGCCGTGTGTGTGTTGTGTGTGTGCTGTGTGTGTGTGTGTGTGTGTGCTGTGTGTGTGTTGTGTGTGTGTGCTGTGGGCCGTGTGTGTGTGTGTGTGTGTGGTGTGTGTGCTGTGTGTGTGTTGTGTGTGTGTGCTGTGGGCCGTGTGTGTGTGCAGTGGGCTGAGGGCAGAGCGTGCCACCTCACACGTGCCTGCCTGCGAGGCCTTGAGCTGTTCTTATTTATGGGCCAGGCCCCTCAGCAGAGGAGAAAAATCAAACCAGTCAGACCCCTGCTACCTCGGCCACGGAGACCCCGTCTGGCAGGCGGCACTCGCCCTGGCCCCGGACCCTGCCTACCCAGGAGATGTGGGCCCGCCCTGGGGAGGACTCACCACTCAGCCGGCAAAGCGGGAGGAAGATGAGGATGTGCAGGCCGGTCCCCCGCAGCCCCATCAGGTCCACGGGGCGCCTGAGGCTCCAGGAGCTTCTGCACCGCCAAAGGGGCCCAGCCACCCCGTCCCCACCCCGGAACACGCTGACGCGAGAAGGGGGGAAAATGAGGAGGGGAGAAAAGAAAAGAAAGAAACACTCACCGTCTCCCCTGCCAGTCAAAGTGAAAGTGGAAGCCAGGAAGACAACCACCGCCCACCCCACCTCACCGCCCACCCCACCCCACCCCCAGGGTTACCCCACACCTGGTTTATGGGGAGCTAGGCATGGAGCCCAGGCCTTCCTGCAAGCTAAGCAGAGGCCTAGAAACCGAGGCCCAGCCTGTGGGTTACATTTTAAAGTCCTTTTCCCAGTGCCTGGGGGGCTGAGACAGGGCCCGGCCGTGGATCTGTGGGCGGCCCGGCCGTGGATCTGTGGGCGGCCGGCCGTGGGTCTGTGGGCGGCCCGGCCGTGGGTCTGTGGGCAGCCGGGCCGTGGATCTGTGGGCGGCCCGGCTGTGGGTCTGTGGGCGGCCTGCTCTCTACAGACTGTCTCGAAAGAAAGAAATTTTAAGTGGTATGACTTTTCTCTGGAGATGTTTTCAGAGCCAGGCACATGCCATGTGCCTTTAATCCCAGCACTCGGGAGGCAGAGGCAGGCGGATCTGAGTTCAAGGCCAGCCTGGGCTACAGAGTGAGTTCCAGGACAGCCAGGGCTACACAGAGTTAAAAAGTCTCCAGATTTCCAGGGCTCCGACAAGGGACACAGATAATAATCTTTTGGGGAAACTGAGGCCATGTGGATGAGCTCATGGTGCTTGGGGAGGGCCCTGGGGGAGGAGCTGTCCCCAGCACAGCTGGCCCTGGGTCCGGCCTCCTGAAGGCTGAGGTCAGAGCCGCGGGGACAAAGCGGCTGTGTCTTGGCCCTGGCACGGAGCCACCTGGACCCTGTGACCCCGCGCAGACCGACTCCGAGGGCGCTGGAGGGGGGGGCACAGGAGGCCGGGGGAGGGGCCGGGTCGGAGAGGGGAGCGGAGAGGCCGCGGAGGGCAGCTGCAGGGACACACTGCGTTGGCTGAGGCAGGAGGATTGCCAGGGAGGGAGGGAGTTCGGGGAAGATTGCAGCTTGGGCTTCGCCCTCCGGTCCTCTCAGCACAGCCTTGGCTCAGAGACGCTGCCACGGCGCCCCACGTCAGAGTCGGGGAAACTGAGTCTGGAAGCCCCAGCTGGAAGCAAGGAGATGGATTCAAGGAGCTCTGGGGGCCGGGCTTGGCTCCTTTGGCCCTTCCGGCCTCCCGGCCTCCGCCAGCGTTGCCTTCACACACACGGGCGCGCGCACACACACTAATGCACACACACTAATGCACACACACACTAATGCACACACACATACACACACGCGCGCGCACACGCACTAATGCACACACACGCGCGCGCACACACATGCACACACACACTAATGCACACACGCGCGCGCGCGCACACACACATGCACACACACACTAATGCACACACACGTGCGCGCACACACACATGCACACACACACTAATGCACACACACGCGCGCGCACACACACATGCACACACACACTAATGCACACACGCGCGCGCACACACACTAATGCACACACACACTAATGCACACACACACTAATGCACACACACACTAATGCACACACACACTAATGCACACACACACGCGCGCGCGCAGACACGCACACACACACACGCACACACACACACGCACATGCACACACATGCCTCAGTTGCCTCAGTTTCCCCAACAAGCTGCATGCGAAGGCAGGCCGGGCTGAGTGGTGAGGGCCGGGTGAGGCGTGGCCCTGTGGCCCCGTCACACCTGTCCAGGTGACAGGCTGGGGAGGAGTGGGGAGCCCGGGCACCCAGCGCTGGGCCTCCCCTTACTGAGGTCGCCGCGTGGGGCGCCCACCCGTGTCGCCCTCCCTCGCACGCTCGGGCTCCTCCGGGTGGGGCCGACTGCCCGGGCGCCCCACTTTCAGGAGCACATGGGGCGGGGGCAGGAAGAAGCCGGTCACAGCCGGAAGCCACATCAGAGGGAACCGCCGAGGTCCCCGCGGCCCCGGGGGCTTCGCTTCCTGTGCCCAAAGCCCGGGGCCCGAGACGCCGCCCCAGGGGCCGCTGCGGGGAGGACCGGGCCCCGCGGTTCAGCGAGCCCCGTGCGCCCCGGGCCCGGGTGCGGGGACCGGGTCCTCCCGCCGCAGCCCCCCTGCAGCCCAGGCCACAGGCAGCCACCCGGCGACGGTGTCCCGTGCTCGGGCTGTGCTCGAACCCCGGCCCGGCCCACGAGCTGCCCCGCTCCCCTCCTGCAGACTCCAGCCCGCGCCAGGCGGGCACCCAGCGCTCGCCGCCGACGTAGTCACTGTTGGCGTTGTTTGCCGGGCGGGCGCTCCGCGAAGCCGACCCCGGGCAGCCGCGCCGCCGTGTGGCCCCGGAGCCGCTCAGGCGTGCATCCAGGAGAGGGGAAAACATAGGCCATCAAAGACGGCCCCGGTTCCGGAACAGCCCGCGGCTACCCCAGGGGAGCCGCGAGGAGCGGCCAGTGGCCCTGAGCGGCAGGGCAGCCGGCAGCGCAGCCCCGGAGTACTACTCAGCCATCAAAAAGGAGGGCGCGCCTGAAAAGCGTGACAGAGTGACAGCCGGCAGACCCAAAGACCCCGCCCACAGGAAAGGGTGAGCGCAGTCAGACCCGGAGGAGAGGGGCCGCCAGGGGCCGCGGGGCCCGACGCTGGGGTCCTCGGGGGTCCTCGGGGACGTTCCGTGCTTAGGTGGCGGTGACGGATGCACTGAGAAGCCGCGTTTGCTTGGCTTTGCGACAGTGTCAGGTAGCCCAGGCTGGCCTGCCGCCCTGAGTGGCCGGAGATGGCCCTCTGGTGCCGGAAGGGGGGTGAGGTCGGGCTGGGGAGGGGTCCCCCCCGTGGGAGGGACCGAGTGCGAGGCGCGGGGCTCCACGCCCAGCAGTTCGGGGAAGGTGACGCCGAGCTGGCCGCGCGCTGGCCGGGCACGCACGGAGCCCCGGGTTCGAGCCCAGCACCGGGTAAACTCGGTCGCGGCGGCCCCGGGGGCTGGGGCAGGGGGATGAGACGTTCAGTCCTCCGCGGCTCCAGAGGAGGCAGCCCGGGCCACTCGGGGTCCTGTGCAGAGGTAAAGACCGCTTGAAAACCA